GTTTGATGTCGAAAAGTGGTAATTGGACTGGCCACCGCGTTCGCCCGATTTGACGCCACCTGACTTCTTCAAAGGTTTACGTTAACAAGCCAGGGACAGTAGAGGAGCTTAAGGACAACATTCGTGAAGAAATAACCGGTATTCCGGCCGAAATGTTGGCAAAAACGATGGAAAATGCAGCAAAAAGGGCACAATACGTCATTAACGCCAGAGGCGGCCATTTGAGAGATATCATATTCAAAAATTGATGTAAATAAATCTACTTGGAACAAATTAAATGATTAACATTGCCAACCGCCAAATTTTTATTTTTTTCTTTGATTTTTTTTTTAAAAAAACATGGGTCCGTCGAATATGGGCAACCCTGTAAATGGGAGCTATACCTATATCTAAATCTGAACCGATTTTTCCCAATTTCAATAGGGTTCGTCCTTGGGCCAAATAAATTAGATGTGCCAAATTTCATCCAATTTGAATCATAAATGCGACCTGTACTTTGTTTAAAATTTAACATGGTCAGACAGACGAACGGACGGACGGATGTGCGGACATGCAAAAATCGACATTGAAAGTGATTTTAAGCATATTCTCAAAAGGAATCATGTGTCTTTATCTCGCTTCCTTTTGCCTGTTACAAACATATGCACAAAGACATAATACCCTGTACCACAGTGTGGTGAAGTTATACCCTTCACCACACTGTGGTGAGGTATAAAAAATATTTTACTTAAATGTATACCAATATAGCCCATATTTGAAATTGACATGTCTATAGACAACAGACAACCTTATTAAAAATTTCTAAAATTCATTCTTTTCTACCCCTATAGGATCTATTGATTGCAAAATATTTGAATATTCAAATATTGTACAATTTCAATATTATTTTTTATATGGTCGCTTAAAAATATCAATTTTTAAATAAATTTCTTTTTCACTTAAACATGTAATTTCATTCAACGACTTAACATGTAATTCCCTTCACATCATAGCGAACAATTTAATATTTTTTTTTTTTTTTGCTCAACTCATTCTGTATTTCTCAATTATATAAATCAATAATTCAAAATGGTTAATGGTGATGTTTGTGAAGAATCTACTTATGAATATCAATCACAACTTTTAATTACATTTGCAAAAGGCAACCAATAAAGCCGTGGCGGCATATAAAATGAACACCTTTAATTAAATACTTATGCCGAAATCATAATGCCGTGTAATAACGGCTTAAAAAGCGATGCGGGGGAGAAAATGCAAATGAAACGCACATGCCACCAGTACACACGCACACACAAGGACACGATGCAAGCTTTTCGCAATGTGTGTGTGTGTGTGTTCCTTCATTCATACCCATCCAGTCGATGCGTTGCATTCGCTCACTCATTGTGAATTTATAATGAAAAAATCAATATCTGCTTACAATTCGCCAGGGCGAATGCCATGGGCGATTGCAATAATACCACTTAATATTAAATTACTTTTTGATACTTTTATATTTTAATGACGTTATGATCACATAAATGCTTCGACAACAACAACAACAACAGCAGTAACAACAAAATCAAAACGTTGCATGCATGCCAGCGGACCTGATGAGAGCGAAACAACAACAAAAGCTCTGGACATTGCCTTTAGTTTAATTTCACTGCAGACATCCAGCCAGCCAGTCTGATAGTTAAGTAGGAGTAGCGCCATTGTTGAGGCCAATTCGTAGGATGCACCACAATCATGTTGCATGTTATTATTGTTGCACAGACTTGTGTGATGCATTGCATTTTAAATATCCCGAACCAAAATAGCAATAACAACAGAATTGTACACATCTGTGTATTGAGGAATTTTTCGTAGCAAATGTAATGAAGAGAACGAAAGCAAAGGTATCAAGAAAAATCCTCTTGAGTCGGAGTTTTATTGGATAAACAATTGCGTGTTTGGCACAGTGTTCCTTAAAAAAATATTTTTAATAAAACTTCGCCTTTAATAGACCCAAAAAAAATATTTTTAAGAAAACTTCGCCTCCAATAGACCCTGAAAAAGTATTTTTCATAAAACTACGCCTCTACGGGTCTATAACCCTGAAAAAATATTTTTAATAAAACAACACCTCTAATAGGCCTTGAAAAAATATTTTTAATAAAAACAAGCCTCTAAAAGACCTGGAAAAATATTTTTAGTAAAACTTCGCCTCTAATAGCCCCGAAAAATATTTTTAATAAAAGTACGCCTTTAATAGAGCCGGAAAAAATATTTTATTTAAAACCATGCCTCTAAAAGAACCAAGAAATATGAATAAAACTAGGCTTCTGATATGCCATGAAAAAACCACGCCTCCAATAGGAATTTAAAAAAGTAGTTTTAATAAAACCAGGCCTTGAATGGACTTTACATTTTTTATAAAGCCACGTTGACAAAAATATTAAAAAAAAACAGTAAGGAAAGTAGTAAAGTGGGACTGGGCCGACTATATGATACCCTTCACCACTTTGGGTATATTGTACATATGTATCCTTACAATTGTGTATCAATATTCCCTCGATGGTACGCCATGCCAAATTTTGTGAAAATCGAAAAATATGTTCGGACTTTGGTGCACCATTTACATTAAATCGGAAAATATATATGGGAACTATATCTAAATCTGAACCGATTTTCACGAAACTTAGCACACATCATTTCGATTTTCAAGGACCATAGCACACATCATTATAGACTCAATTCAGTACGCTATGCCAAATTTCGTGAAAATCGGAAAATATAAGGGTCTTTGGTGCACTATTTACATTAAATCGGACGAAAATATATATGGGAGCTATATCTAAATCTGAACCGATTTTCAGGAAACTTAACACACATCATTCCAGGCTTTATTCAGTACGCTATGCCAAATTTCGTGCAAATCGAAAGATAAATAGTGTCTTTAGTGCACCATTTACATTTAATAGGACAAAAATATATATGGGAGCTATGCATATATCTAAATCTGGACCGATTTTCACGAAACTTAACTCACATCATTCTAGACCTAATTCGTTACGCTGTACCAAAATGGAAGATATATAGTGACTTTGGTGCACCATTAACATTAAAACGGACGAAAACATATATGGGAGTTATATCTAAATCTGGACCGATTTTCAGGAAACTTAACACACATCATTCTAGACATCGAAAAATATGTAGGGATTTTGGTACTCCATTTACATTAAATCGGACGAAAATATATATGGGAGCTATATCTAAATCTGAACCGATTTTCTGGAAACTTAACACACATCATTGTAGACCTAATTCGTTACGCTGTGCTAAATTTCGTGCAAATCGAAAGATAAATAGTGACTTTAGTGCACCATTTACATTTAATAGGACAAAAATATATATGGGAGCTATACATATATCTAAATCTGGACCGATTTTCACGAAACTTAACTCACATCGTTCTAGACTTAATTCGTTATGCTATGCCAAATTTCGTGCAAATCGAATGATATATAGGGACTTTGGTACACCATTCACATTACATCGGACGATAACATATATGGGAGCTATATCTAAATCTGGACCGATTTTCAGGAATTTTAAAACACATCATTATTTACTTAATTCAGTGAATTATGCCGAATTTCGTGCAAATCGAATGATATATAGGGACTTTTGTACACCATTTACATAAAATCGGACGAAAATATATATGGGAGCTATATCGAAATCTGAACCGATTTTCACGAAATTTAGCACATATCGTTCTAGGCTTAATTCAGTACGTTCTGCCAAATTTCGTGAAAATCCATGGATCTACAAAATCTTCAAATATCCGATTTTTGGTGGTAAGGCTTGTGATCGAATGAGGACCAGAAATTTTTAGTATATAAAATTCTCAAAATATCGAGAATTGGTTGTGCCTTTATATGGTCCATATACGAAAAGATGGGCCAATATTCATTAATTACCATATTATGGCATTAACAAAAACGTTTTTTGGTAGAGAGCTCTATCGTGATTTGAATGACTTATTTTCGATAATTGGCAGCATTTTCCACTGATGTGGCTTTAATTTGTATTCCATATTCTTGATATAGGTCCTTGCCTCAGTTTTCCGTTTTTCGAAGGTGTTAGACCAGCAATGCGGCATTCCAGGTTCTTATATAGGTGTTAGACACATTGTCTGAAAGACCTGTAATGTAGCATTCCAGGTTCTTAGATACAACACAAGTTTGTCAAATTTTTTTAATGTTTTGTTAAAATTGTCTTCCATCTACCTCAAGTCCTTGTGTGCCGCATTTGTCCTTATTTTCCAAAATCGTAAAATAAATACCTTAATACGAGATTTTTGGTCTCCAAATATTTAAAAAAAATATCAGAAAGGGTACTCAAAAACACTTTTAACAGATCCGTGCTCGGAAAACTTCTTATCTAAATTTACAAACAAATGTCGTTTACATTGTAGATTATGAAGAAGTGTCCTATTCTTCTGAAATATTGAAAAGAAAAAGATCTCATTGAGCCAAACATTAATTTCGGATCTGCTCCAAATTAATATTTAAGGATAAGAAAACCGATTTTTGTATTGCATTTTTAATTTTTCGTTTTGTTCCCTTCGATTTGTCTCCCTCGAAACACTGTGAATTTTGTATTACCAGGATTACCTGAAATCCTGTTATTATTCTGTTGCTGTTGGCACCCTCCAGAGTCGAAACGCTGGGAAAACAATTGCAAATGTTACGCATCTATGTGTGTGTGTGTTTCTGTACGTTTCTGTGTGTGTGAATATATATTGAAATCCTTTTTGTAAAACTTTAATTACAAAAGGTATCATATTAATGGCCATAACAATCCCGTTATTGTCCAAATAAAATACGAAGACAGCGATTTTCATGAACACTGAAGATATTATTTTTATTTATTCTTTACAATTATTTTTTGCTTCTCTCTTTTATTTTTAACATGATTGAATTTAACAATTTTCTGTGTGTGTTCTCTTTTTCTCTTCCCCTCTCCAACAGAATTAAAATCGATATCTTAAATCAGGAATATACCGTTTATTATGTTGGCTCCAATTCGGGACACATCTACAAAATCGTTCAGTATTATCGCAACGGTGAATCTCTGTCGAAGCTTTTGGATATCTTCGAAATCGCCCCCAATGAACCCATTCAGGTGATGCAAATCAGTCAGACACGTAAATCGTTGTACGTTGCCACGGATCATCGTGTCAAACAAATCGACATGGCCATGTGCAATCGTCGCTATGACAATTGTTTCCGTTGTGTACGTGATCCATACTGTGGCTGGGATAAGGATGCCAATACATGTCGTCCGTACGAATTGGATTTGTTGCAGGTGAGTTTTTTTTCGGTTGTTTTTCTATGGTTTATTTTACAGGGGAGTTTTTCGGTTATATACCATTCCAAGTGGAGACGGAAAATGATGAAGATGACAAAAAATGGTGTTGAGATGTATGGTTAATATGTATATATTTGTTGCAATATAGACTAATATATTGGGTAGTATCGTGTGAAGGACCATGGGAATGTGTTTAAAATAAAACATAAAATTCTAATAATAATAAAATTCTAAACAAATACCCCCAAATTGTACTCCGAAATTGCTTAGATTTAGGCGACCGAAAATTGTCCATTTGACTAATCATTTTTATAAATATCGTTACATCTATCCTTCTCTATTTTCAGGATGTTGGCAACGAAACGAGTGACATTTGCGATTCCAGCGTGTTGAAAAAGAAAATCACCGTTACCTATGGCCAAAGTGTACATTTGGGTTGTTTTGTGAAAATTCCCGAGGTTTTGAAAAATGAACAGGTCACATGGTATCACCACTCGAAGGATAAGGGACGGTATGTGAAAGTTAATTGGCAAAATTGGTGTTGTTTAATTTTAATTACCGAACCACACATTTGTGTTTTTATTCATTTTCTATTTATTTTTATTTTTACTTTATTTGCAGCTATGAAATCAAATACAATCCCACCAAATATATTGAAACCACCGAACGAGGTTTGGTTGTGGTATCTGTTAATGAGGCTGATGGTGGACGTTACGATTGCCATTTGGGTGGTTCCTTGCTATGCAGTTATAATATTACCGTGGATGCTCATAGGTATGTTGAAAATGAGTATGAAAATACACAATTTTTGGGGAGTAATATTAGGTGGAAGGTAGGGAAATGGAAAATACAAGTCATTGGAAAAAGGATCGAAGACTTATGTGCATTTGTTTTATTCGGAAATATCCTGATTGTTCAACGAAGGTGCTAAGGTGCGAAATTTGTTCAGGTGATCAATATAATTGCAGTCTTCTCAGTATACGACAGTCGAAATAAGTTACAATGTGGGAAAGTTCTGTCGGTCCATACATCATAAAGCAGATCTTCCAAATATATTTCTGTCAATGAGGCTGGACCATGTCAAAATATTAGAAATTACGTTGCCGAAATTCTAAATTACATAACTTCCGTTGGAAAGAACCATCAAAGCACGTAAAACAGAACGAGACCTTAAAAAGGGGATTTTTAAGGATCTATAGAAAGCGTGGATTTTTAAAAAAAAATATTTATAAGAACCTATAGAAGGTGTGGAAGTTTTAAAAAATTGTTTTAAGGACCAACAAAAGGTGGTGGATTTTTATACCCTGCACAACTATGTTGTCAGGGTATTATAGCTTTGTGCAGCCCCAAGAGTTTGTAACGCCGCTAAATATTGGTCCTAGACCCAACTTTAGTATACCAATCTTCATATCTCGACTAGCTGAGCCGATCTAGACATGTGTCCGTCCGTCCGTCTGTCCATTATAAATTGTAAACGCGATACAGGCCACAGTTACGGACCAATCTTCACGAAATTTTACATGTAGGATGGGTTCGGCCCAATGAAGACCCCTATTGTTTTTGGAAAAGGTCGGTTAATAATTAGGGAATGAAATGGACCAAATACTTAATTTTTGTCGGTTTTCCTGGTCGCTGTAGAGGCCGCAATTATGGCCCAAACTTCGCGAATTTTACATGGAGAAGGAGATTTGGCCAAAGAGTAATCATGCCTGTTTTGATAAAGATCGGTCAATATTTGGCGGGTCAAATGGACCCAGACTTTTGTGTGAGAAATTACAAAAATTTTATTCTATAGCGTATACATTTCCCCCTTATAGATATAGACCCAAGAAGTTGATAGTATATCCAAGAGGAGTGGTTGACCTTTAAATCGATACCAATTATATTGTCGTATGTACTCGGATGTGGGAGTTACACTTCAATATTTACAGGTGCTTAGGTATTCATATATTATTAAGTAAACCATTACCACATTATAGGGCGAAAATAAAGCGCGGATCGCTTTGAGGATCCAGGTATGGTCAAGGACAACGCCTATAATTTCAAGAGGGTGCAAATATCGCGAAGTATTGCCCATGTTCAGAATGTAGTACCACAGAAAGTTACATTTTCGTGGAAGTTGTGTAGGGTATCATATGGTCGGCCCCGTCCGACTATACTGCTCCGCTCACTGGTTTTTTAAATATTTTTAATGAACTACAGAAGTATGGATCTTTTAAATTTTTTTCTTTGAAGGACCTACAGAAGGTGTGGATATTTGATTAATTACGACAAGGGTGTATAGACACTGTGGTACAGGGTGGTATGTCTTTGTGCATATTTTTGTAAAAGGCAAAAGAAATCGACATTGGCCCATGATTCCTTTTGAGAATAAACATATAATCACTTTGTGAGCCAATTTATGCATGTCCGTCTGTCCGGCTGACAGTCCATCTGTACATGTTAAACATGTCGCATTGATAATCCGATTTGGATAAATTTTGGCACAGCCCATTTATTTGGCCCAAGGACGAATCCTAATGAAATTGGAGAAAATCGGTTCAGATTCAGATTTTAACTAAATATTGCACGAAACTCTCGATAATTGCACGATTGAGCAAAGCTTTGCACAGCGTACTGAATTACTACCAGTTGCAATGTTTTGCTGAAATGGTTTAAGGGTTAGATATAGCTTCGTATATAGATTCTCCGATTTGAAATAATAGGTGCATATATATATATATATATATATATTATGGACCAAAAGTTAGGCCACAAAATTTTGCACAATGAACTGAAGTTGGTATAGCAGAACGTGAGTCAAGTTTAATTGGAATCGGATCAGATTTAGATATAACTCCCATATATAGTTTTATCCGATTTTAAGTAATTGGTGCACAAAAGGCCTAAAGTTAAATCGATTGGGACCTAACTTTGAACAAAGTACTAAAGTTAGTGTAGCCTAACGTTTCGTCCGATTTTATGTAAATGGTACACCACACTCCTTAAGTTTGTTAGATTGACATGAAATTGTGCACAACGTGCGAATGATATGTGTATGGATTGAACGAAGTTGGTTCATATAAAGATCTCATATATATTAGTTCATCCAAGTTCATGTTAATGGTACTTGAACGATGCGACGTCTGTTAGGATGCATCTGTATAATATACTACTTTCCTTACTGGTTACATATAGATCTTTGAAAAAATAAACAAGGATGGAATGGGGGTACTCGCTTAAAATTGAAGATTGAGAAAGTTTATTGCGTCATAGAACATAGATACCAATATATAGTCAACGATTTTTCGTCGCCAGAAGTGGCTCCTAAAGCATCCACAGACTATGATTTGGAGATGTCTCGTTTGAAAAAAGTGTATAAATCATGCTTGTGAATACATTTTCCATTGTGAAGAATTTTAATATTCTTGCTTTAGTCCTTTTATGTGGAGGTTGATGATGAGATTATTGCGGATCGATTGTCACGAAAATTTTCACAAAATCCGGAGGTTAGACAATACTCGCAATATATTTTACATTCCATCAATATATTGTTCTTATTCGTAAATTTATTGCAGGCATCTATTACGCAGTCATACAATACTACTGTCAAGGAATGAATTATAAATGACTTAAATAAAAATACGATCAACTTTAGAAAAAATAGACTCTTTAAAATAATTTCTTCGTCCTACTTTTTATACTCTTCACCAGTCTAGGGTTAAACATTTTTTTATGCAGGTGTTTCGTTTTATTTCCAATAACTTCACTAATATGAATTGTATCCCCATTACAAATACACACATCGACTTGAAAAACAACTGTCATTATTTTCTTTTTTCTCTTCTTACAGATGTACACCACCCAACAAAAGTAATGACTATCAGAAAATTTATTCAGATTGGTGTCATGAATTTGAGAAGTACAAAACAGCCATGAAGTCATGGGAAAAAAAACAAGCGGTAAGTTTTGCATAAACAAGTTTACTAGTAGTAACCCATTAAATGAAAGAGTAAAATATATGTAAATCTATAATTGAAGACGACATATCTATGGATACATATATATAGAAATTACATTCCATTGACCTAAACCACAATGCAAATACATATAAAGCAAACAGTTGACCCGTCACCTGCACTATGTAACAGGGTTATCACCTATTAAGACAACGACAATGTGTGTGTGTTTATACATTGTGGTCTCATCCATTTAGCAATACCACAACAAATCAATATCAAACGATTTAAACGTTTTACCTTCCCAGTAGAAAGTGTCTTGCAGACAACATTAACGAATCGTGTAAGACAATGGCAATTCCTTGAAGACACTTTGCAGACAACAATGTGAAATCGTTGACGGAATTTTCACACAAGTGTCTCAGTATTCATGCACGACAACTTGGGCGACAGGATAAGCGATGTTGTCGTTGACGACAACTTCGGCGACTAATCTCCCTACTTTTCGTTAACGACAGATTCCCTTCCTGTCGTTTACACATTCGTTGATGACTGTATACCTATTGTCATCAATCTTGTCGTCAATCATACCCCATTTAAAATTCAAATAAAAATATATGTACATATTTTTAATTTATATTTTTTATAGCACACATTTCTTATAACTTATATTTACATAATACATACAATATAAATAAGCAGATAAGTTGGAGTGAAACAACAAAATTAAAATGCATTGGAATATGAAACATCTTTCAGATTTTACTTACAATATTTCACCAATTGTCCTAAGAGTACAACATTGCATTTAAATAATGGTATAAATAATTATATATTCTTTTAATCTTACCTATTTTAACGAAGAAAACACGTCTTCTTTATCTCAAATTTCTTATATATTTTTTCAGAAAGAATGTCACTTAATTCAGACTATTTTTGTTTTGTTTTCATATTTCGAGAAGAACGACATTTTCGACGACATATCATGTGTTTAGTCATGAATGACAATTCCATAAATTTCGTCAACGTTTCGTTAACGAAATTGTCACGCAAGAGAGTATTTTCTACTGGGTTAAAGTATCTCACACACACATACACACAAATATACAATGTGTTTTTAATTGGATATGCAGTTAATGGTAGGCTGCCGTTCTGCAACAATTCTCATTGTGGGAAATTTGCACTGCCCTGCCCTGCTTGGCACAGATAATGGTGTTGCAACACTTTACCTTAATAGTTGTAGTTACTTGGTAATCCTTTCATTATTTAAAAATCAATGAATATTTTATGAAATTTATAAGCTTAATTAAATATTGGAGGTTTTAGTGTAGTTAAGTGGATTACTGGGCAACTATGTGTATTTAAGGATCTAATGTTTGTAAATTAATAGCTGTTACATTGTTGTTGTATATATGTTGGGAGAATTTATTACGGACACAATTTTTTACGGACACAAAAAAATGGAAGACGCTTAAGGTGAAAATAAGCAATTTAAGTTATAGGAGTTTGAAAATTGTAGATGATGTTTGCTGTATGCAAATAATGATAACTGTTTAGAGGAAATTGTTCATTTTTTATACCCTCCACCATAGTATGGAGTGTATATTAATTTTGTCATTCCGTTTGTAACTCATCGAAATATTCATTTCCGACCCTATAAAGTATATATATTCTTGATCAGGGTAAAAAAACGCTATCTTCCGAAGGAATTGAGATAGGGTGCTGAAATTTTGCATAGGGTTGTCTTTTGTCTGCAGGCAGGTAAAGTTCGAAGATGGGATATATCGGTCCACGTTTAAGCATAGCTCCCATATAAGGGTACCCCCCAATTTTCGGTATTTTGGGGTTCTTGAGCGCGTTTTTCAAGCGAATTCGCTGAAATTTGGTACATTGTGTTTTTATTGGGTGCTAAATGTCTCCAGAAAAAATTATAAGTATAGGTCCACTTTTTCTGGTATCCCCCATATAACGGTACCTCCTAATTTTCAGTATTTTGGGGGTTTTGGTCGTATTTTTCTACCGAATTGCCTGTAATTTAGTACTTTGAGTTCTTATTAGGTTTCAAATTATAAATAGTCCATTTTTTCTGGTAACCCCCATATAAAGGTACCCCCAAATTTCGGCATTTTGAGGTTCTTAAGCGCGTTTTTCAACCGAAATCCCTGAAGATTTGTATTTTGCAGTCCTATATGGAAACACATCTCCCTACCAAAAATTATTAATAGTCAACCCCTTTTAGGCGTAGTCCCCATATAACCCCATTTTTATACCCTCCACCATAGTATGGAGGTTATATTAATTTTGTCATTTCGTTTGTAACTCACCGAAATATTCATTTCCGACCCTATAAAGTATATATATTCTTGATCAGGGTAAAATTCTAAGACGATCTAGTCAAGTCCGTCCGTCCGTTGTAATCACGCTATCTTCCGAAGGAATTGAGATAGGGTGCCGTACGGTTCGATAATGAACTATATGTGAACTATAGCCCGCATTTAGGCTTAGCCGTAGCACCTGTATGGGAGGTACTAGAAGGCATGGACCAATATTCCCCAAATTCGGACTTGAACTAAGTTTGGAAGACATAATAAGATGGGATGAAATCAATTTTTTCTGAAACGGATTTGGTCCAAAGAAACATGGGGTCTAGAACCAATATTTCGATGAGGCACATTTTCACCGTGTGATAGTGTATACACACTAATTATCCATAAGGCTGAGGGTATAATTTTCTATTAAAAATTATTGTTTACATAATCGGTTTGTAGATATGTCGGTATAGGTGCATTTTTTTGTATGTTCCCTATATTTTCATTTCAAGTACCTGCCAGTATATCTATGGTGGAGGGTATCCAAAGTTCGGTCCGGCCGAACTTAACGCTTTTTCACTTGTTTTTATTTAAAAAAGGTGGTATCTCAGCAATAACTTGACGAATGTTGGTTTTAAGTGCTCAAGAGTTGAAGTTTTACCTGCATAAAAACGGTACTTCGCGTCGCCCCATAAAAAATGTTATGTTAATAAGCAGTTAATATCACCCTGAATAGAAATTACGCTGCCAGGAAATGTCTCTTACATTTGCTAGCGTTGTGTGACATGTGACACCGTATTGTTGAAACCACAAATTCTTCAAGTGGTATTCTCCAATAGCATGTTGTTCAAGCACTCATATTTGACGTTGTGGATAGTGTGCTTTCAATGGTTTCAGTTTTTGCGTAAACTGGACTTTATATGAATGTAGGTGTAGATCTAAATGCAAATACGCCACTATTTGACAGTCCTAATTTCTAAGAACGATGAGAAATCTACACATTCGGGTCTTCGGCAATGCTTTCAGCATGCGATATTTTGAACGGAATGAGTGAAACGATAATGAACATGCCTTGCAATATTTGTAGCTGCTCTGGCCTCTTAAAATTTTCTGACAATTTTGCCAATTGCTTGCGTAGTTGAAGGATTATGTAACTGTGGCAGAATATACATTATTATACCCTCAGCCTTATGGCAAATGTGCCTCAAATAATATAGATTTTACACCCCATGTTTTAGAAAATTTGGAGTCGATTTACAAATCTCCTTCGGCCTGTCTGGCGGGCTGGTTTTCACGATAACTCTGGAAGGGGCTAACCGATTTCATCCAAACTTTGCACATCATAATAAAAATGGATTTTATACTGTAACGAACGGATTTAATCCAAGCTTTGCACAACCTATTGCCTTAACAAAGCCTCGATTTAGTCCGCAGATGAGACCCAGATGGTCCACTCTTTCTGAAAACTCCCCATCAAATAGCTACAAGATTCAATCTTTATAAATCCAATGTTACGAGTTAAATGTCAGATTTGAACCAAAAATCGCACCATTTATTGTCTTTATTAAGCCTAGATCAAGTTCGAAGGTGAGATACGCCTTCTGGTGACACCCCCCCCCCCCCCCCCCCTTAATAAACAAGGATCAACATTTTCAATATTATAAATCCAATATTAGACGAATGGAATGCCCGTTTTGAACCAGAATTTGCAAAACCTATTACCTTTACCAATCCTAGATCAAGTCCGAAGGTGAGACCCGTCGGTCATCATTATAAACATGTAAATATAATTTGACGCTAATGGAATGCCCGATCTGAACCAAACTTTGCACAATCATTTATATTTACCAAGCCCAGATCTAGTTCAATTGATCCACTACTTCTAGTACCTCCCCAACAAATGGTCAACATTTTCAATATTTATAAATTCAATATTATGCGAATGGAATGTTCGATTTTATCCTAACTTTGCACATCATAATATCAAAATCCGAAGATGGAACCTCCGCAAACCTTTGGCGGGGGGTGTATAAATTTGTCGGCAACACCGATTGACACTTTTTATACCCTTCACCTCACTGTGGTACAAGGTATTATGTCTTTGTGTATACGTTTGTAACAGACAAAATAATTCGATGGAGACCCATGGTTCGTTCCTTTTGAGAATATACATACAATCAATTTCTGAGTCGATTTATGCATGTCCGTTCGTCCATGTATTTTTGCGAACAAAGTACAGGTCGCATTTATGATCCGATTTGGATGAAATAAGGCACATGTCACTTATTTGGCCCAAGGGTGAAACCTATTCAAAGTGGAGAAAATCGGTTCAAATTTATATATAGCTCCCAATATAGTTTCGTCCGATTTTATGCAAATAGAGCACCACACTGCCAGTATTGGTCCGATTGAGACAAAATTTTGCACAGAGTACTGAATAAGGTCCAGATTGTTGCATGCGAAGTTTTTTTGAAATCGCTTCAGATTTAGATATAGCTCCCATATATAGCTTCGTCCGATTTTTATATCCTTCATCACACTGTGGTACAGGGTATTATGTCTTTGTGCATATGTTTGTAACAGGCGAAAAGAATCGAGATAGATCCATAGTTCCTTTTAAGAATATGCATGGAATCATTTTCTAAGTCGATTTATGCATGTCCGTCTATTTGTATATTTCACCACACTGTGGTGCATATGTTAATAACAGGCAAAAGGAATCGAGTTAGACCCATGTTGAAGTTACTACAGGTATGGGTTCTTTTAATTTAGTTGAAATATCTATCATCGTAGTTAATTTCGTGCGATTCCATTTCAATGGTCCTCTAAAAATGTCACATCTATTCTATCTAAAGTATATTGTACATATGAGCATCTCTTGTATGTACCCAAACTGGTTAAGGGTATCATATAATCGGCCCTGACCGACTTTTTCAACTTTCCTTATTGGTTTTTACTGCGAAATGTCACCCTTCCCATGAGCATAAATCTGAAATTGTTTGATTGATACTTTACGAGAAAATAAACAAATAATGGATTTCTTTTTCTCCCAACCTAATTTTTAAGTTACTTCAGTCTCATATCAATGTTCCTTGGAAAAGACGACGTCTGTCTGGATACATCAGTTGAATATATCCAAAGTGGTGAAGGGTATCATATAGTCGACCCCGTCCGACTTTTCTATATTGCCTATTGATTATTTATACCGATCAATATTTAAAGAGTCAAATGAACCAAAATTTTCACCATATATTTTCACATAGTGTATCGAATGGAGTTTTCAAAGTTTTGTTAAAATAGGTTTAAATTATACTTAATTTATACTGATTTGCTACTATTTTAGAGCACCTCTCGTATATATTTTAAGTGGATTTCTGAATTTAATACCTTTCAATTCTAATACTTTACGAATTTCTTTATAATAATTTCCATTCTTTATATTTTTCTTTTCATTTCAGCAATGTTCGTCACGTCAAAATTTCAGTCAACAACATCCAAATGAAGTATTTCGCAAAAATATAGTCTGATATCAAGATGGACTAAATGATGCTGCTAATCCATTAACGTCCATTAAACTTTTTTAAAAGAAATTATTCATTTTGAAAACCAATACAAAACAACAAATTATCAACTAACAAAATTCATGCAAAACATATATACACACACACAAACAAAATGCATATATACTTAACCACATACAATGCAAAGCAATAGCAATATATATATATAAATAAGAAATACAAAACCAACAACAACAAATAGCAAATATACTAATTAAAAATGACGATGCAGTTTAAACGCTAATATTAAGTGACACAAAAGTATTGAAACAAAAAAGATTGCCGTTTAGAACAAAGGCAAAGAAAGATAGAAACAGAAACACTATAAAAGTTCCCGCATATTTAAAATACATACAAACATACTTTATGATTATTATTATACATATAAAAACAACAAAAACATATAAAAATAGCAATATGAGATCACAATAAACGTGGCATTTATTATAGAGATTTGTAAGTTTATTATAAAAAATAAATAATTATAAAAAATAAATAAAAAACGATGAAAATAAAACACATAATTTTAAATATAAAAGAAATAAAAAAATCCAATCATCAATCACATTACTACATACATATTACAGTTTATGACAGTTACAGCTAAACAGAAAAAAATACAAAATTCTAATTATTATATTTATCAAAGAATTTTCATGTTCGCTTACCAATAATGTTTGCTAGCAAAATATGAAAACTTTAGATAAACTTTAAAACAAAAACGAAGAAACAACTATAAACTAAAATTGAATATATATAATAAAAACATTTAACAAAAGAATTTCATTAAAAAGAATTACACTCCCTCTCCTATAAAAGCTAACAAATAACTACTGCCCATAACAACGAAATGACGATTTGTATTCTCCCACTTAGTTTATGCCAAAATCCTTTTTCACACATACAGACACAAGATTTGACATTTATTCATTTAAAAATGCCTACTCCAACACATATATAACATAATACACATAAAATTTGTATTTATTTTATTTTTGTAATTTGTAAACCAAAATATTGGGTTGTAATGAAAAAAACAATCGATCGATATCTCAAGAATTTTCTTGGTAGGAACATTTTTTTGATGCTAACTGTCGATTTTCTTTTGAAGTCGATTTGAGTGTTCGAAATCAAGCCTAATCCAAAGAAAGTTGTTCTTGGTGTTTCGTAACTATCTACCATGTTTTGGAAGTATCTCAATCGAAGTGGACATTTTACAATCGGCTTGAGAGCATGATGGAGTAAAAATAATTAAACCTGTTTCCATGATTACCCAGCGAGCGTAGTCAATCGGAGCGGACCCTAAAAATGTTCGAGTGGAAATTTCAAAATTGGTTTGAGAGCATGCTGTTTCCATGATTACCCAGTGAACGCAGTCGTACGGAGCGGACCATACGATACCCTACAAATTTTCGAACTACCAGTGAGAGATTAGTTTCTGCGGATCTATATGCTGAACCTGACGATATTTGCACTCTCTTGACCGATTAGATGTCAACAGCTGCTATGCAACATCTTTTGAACCGCCCAGCCCATCAGCTGTTACAACAACAACAACAGCAACAAAAATTAAAGTTTTCGGTCCATTTCATCCCTGAAATATTATCTGATCATCATTGAAAATTATAGGCGTCGTTCGCGACCATAACCAAAACCTAAACAACATGCAAAATTTCCTAGCCATCGGTGCTACATTTCCGCCCTCTAGTGTGGTAATGACTATACTAAACAATATAATATTACATAGCTCCCGCTAAAGTTTAAGTATAACTCTCGCATTCTCGTACGTATAATGGGTATCAATTTAAAGGTCAACCAGTCAACTTCTTGGGTCTATATCCTTCAAGCTTAAATTCACTTAAATATAGATGCCATTGTATGCAAATTTCAAAATTTTTCATACAAAAGTCTGGTTTCATTTTACCCGCTTAATATGGTCAGTCCCCTCCCTTTGTGAAAAATTTCGGGATGTTCGGGTCATAATAATAAAGACAAAAATATAGTTTTTGGTCCACTTCATCCCCTAAATATTAACCCATTATTACCAAAAAACAACAGGTGGTCTTCTTTGGTCCGAGTCGGTCCAGGAGTCGGGACAATTGATCAATAGATTTTGCCTGTATCGTGTTTAGAAATTATAATGGTCAGACGGACGGGTCTGGACACACATGTCTAGATAGACTCAGGTAGTCGAAATATGACGATCGGTATACATAAAGGTGGGTCTAGGACCAACATAGTCGTGTAGTACCCATCAAATAAAATTCTATGCCGATTTAGTCATGTTCGTCTGTTGAAACACACTTAGAATGTTTGTTATTGAAAATGGGATATATGTGTAAACGTTTTGACACAGCTCTCATATAACCGTACCCCAAATATTCGAAATTTTTTGGAAAGCCTTTTAATTTGATATTTTAGGTTCCCATCTTCTTACAAAAACCCATCAATATTGGTCATTTTTCTAGGATAGCCCCAATATATCGGTACGTCCCACATTTCGGTATTTAAAGGATTCTGGACACGTTTTTCATTTCAATTGATTGTTATTTGGTATTTTGAATTCTAAATGGGTGACAAATCCCACTACCTAAAATTTTCAATACTTGTCTGGTTTTCGGGTTACCCTTTTAAAACGATCCTTGCCAAATTTCGGAATTTCAGGGAGTTTAAGCACGATTTTCAGCCGAATTGGCTGTAAGTAAGTTTTTCGAATCTACACTAATTCAAGAATGTCCCTAAAAAAGTTCAAGTGAAAATCTCTAGAACTCTTGAAGATATAGTCGATTTATTGTGTCAGCATCAAGTGGCGGCTAAAGGTCTTCTCAAACTTTAAACGCGTTTTTCTCTTTTGTGAGTGGCGGGCACGCACAGTGGGAAAAAATGCAGATCTAGCGCGCAGAAAATCAAAGTAGATGTTTTACTGTATGTTTATCGATATTTTGGATAAGAATAGATTTAGATGGACAATTTTAAGTATTTTATGAAAAAATTTGGCAATTTTTTTTTATTAACCCATTAAGCGCCGATTTTTTTTTTAGAAAAAGCTTAAATTTTTAGGTGAAAATTACTATTTTGAGGCAATTGAAATATTTTATAATAAGCAATATTTTTCGTTATAACTAATAGTACTCCTAGAATGGAAGCTTCTTTTAAAAATTCGGAAACATTTGGAGGGTAAAAAGTGGGTTAAGGCCAAACACTATTGTTATTATATATATCTTTATTATTGTAAATATTACATATCTAAAACATTAAACTATATATATTTTACAAAATTTAGGCGTTACTTATTAAATACTAATCACATTCAGAATCCGAGTTTTGATCTGAATTAGTTGGTAGCATTGGATCCTCCAGTAGTTTAAGGACTTCTTCAGATAGTGGCTCACTATATCGATGGCTAAGAGATGTACTACGAGACAAACATGATATTTTTGGATCAGAAGAAAATAGCAACCTATTAAAAAGATCCCTCATTGTTTCCTCACGACTAATTTTTCTGGTGTACAGTTCCCTGTAGTTCCGAAAGTCCTTATTTCTGGATTCCATGGCTTCTTCAGACAACATTCCTATGGGCAAAGCTGCACATTTGATTATATCAGCTCCATGCACTAATATTTTGTGTATGCTTGAAGGCATATAGAACCAAGAATATAATTCCACGAAAAGAATAAATATTTCCTCAGTAAGTCTATTTAATATATATTCTTTTACATCAGAACCATGTTTAGATTTTATCCAAACTTCAAAGAGCTCTCTGTACAAAATTGACATTTTTCCACTTCACTTGTTTAAGAACTAAAATAAATCGCTATTCACTTGTTTATAACTTGTATAATCCCGTTCTTTGACACTTATTGAATGAGAAAAATCTATGAATGAACATTTGTTAAATGCGGATTTTTCATTCATAGGTAGAAAAATCTATAAATAATATGTATTTTTGCATTCATTCGTAACTGATACCTGTATCCGACCCTAACGAAATTCGCATGACAAAGTCATAAAGTCATCCGAAGTCATGTCAGTCATTGGAAACCCCATAACAGGTATAATAAAAGTCCATAAACTCCACCTCCACGAAAATCATAAATATAGGTAAAACAGTGTATATATGAATGTTACACCAATGATATTTTTCCATGGTTCATAAAGTGGACCCTTTACCTGCGGTATTTTAAAAGACTCTTACAACCGATTTCGTTGTAATTTTAATTTTCATTTAGAAAGACATTTGGAATAAATGTATATTCAGTGCATGAGTTTAAAATCAACGTTTGGAGCAGCTTACTTAAATCCCTCATTTTCATACTCACACCCAGTACTCTTGAACCTTAGGATGGACATTTTGAACTTGTTTTTTTTTCTTATCTGCTATGCTGTGATCTATTCCAAGTCATATTTGATGAATTATATCAAAAAAATTCACAAATTTTTAATTTTATTTGAACAAAACCTTAAAAAAGCTTCCTACACAAAATTGGCATTTTTTCAAAAAATTGTCATAAATCCGAGAATCGCAGGAAGTCGCAGGAAAAAATTTAGTATGATGTTCTAGACAGACACACAAGAAAAAAAAAAAACAAAAATCAAAGCTGAACTCGACTGCACTCCATACTAAACCCCTATTTTAATTGAAGGAATTAAAAAAAACGGGCCTTACATATATTTAGCCCGAAACACCTAAATTAAAATAACTTATGGGTTATATAACTATACCATTTAATTAAATACCAATACTATATATCAAAAATGGACAAAATTTTATAATAATATATTCACAGAATGCACACGACCATCGCAATTTTATAGCAAAAAAATGCCATTTTTAACATTGGAAAAATTTTCTGTTTTAAATGTACCGTTATTCCGTTCTAGCTTATTAATTCGGATTATTTTATACGGACTTAAGTACTCTCAACACTCTACTTTAAAACTGCATTAATGTTTTAAAGTTTCCTTCAACTTCATTTTTTGATTTTCTGCGCGCTAGATCGGTATTTTTTCCCACTGTGGCACGA